ACAAAGGCAATAAAAGCCGCCAAAAATACTTAAAAAAAATAAATAAATAGCAAAACTGGTGAGAGCAAACAGGGAGTCCATGATTCAGTATAAAAAGATAGAAATTTGGTTGATGAAAATATTACGTTTTATATTATTCTCTATAGTGGGCAAACAACAGTGTGGATGTACATGTTATTCACCTGAGAACCATGCTGATCGTTTCCATTGTTTACCATGGACACTGTCCCTTTCTTCCTGTGTTTGATGCGCGGCGTTTTCTCTGCATCAAAAAAGCGGGCCTGGTCCCCATAGAGTTTGCTAATCACACACACACACACACACACAAGAAAATTGGTCACAGAGTTCAAGTTGTGGTTTTAAATAAATAAATAAATACATAAAATAAGTCAACAGTGGTGATGAAGATGACTGACCTATAGACAGATTCTCCGCCACGCCCCGTCCCAGTGGGATCCCCAGTCTGCACAATGAAGTCTCTCTGAGGAGGAGACAAACACATTTATACAGCATGTCTAACACAGTGTCCAACTTCTGAGCTGGACTGACAAATTACGAGAGCACAGGATGAGCACCAGAGGAGATAAGGTCATAAGGGCTGTGAACCAGAATATTGTAAAGGATTTTGTTACAGTATTAGTGGATGAAGAAACAATAAAAACAATATTGAAGTATTCTCCAGCTGTTTTTTTTAAACACAATCTAAGTTGTAAGAACTATGTGATAGAGAAAGCCATGCAAATAACAAATAAGATGTGTTTCTGTCAAACAAATTAAGACAATTATATAAGGTCTACGCAACCTCCATACATGCCAAGTTTAACTGTCTTTACAGACATGAATCCTTATTTGGCTCGACATTAGGTGTAATACTGCAGATGATCACCGTGGTTCTGTTTGCACTTAAGGTAATGGTTGTGAGAGTCCCATTACCATTACAAAACTGTCTGCAATTGTGTTTTTAAATGATTGATATATGAAACCTGAGCACTGCCACATCAACTTGCTACAGGAATCTAAGGCAACAATATCTATACCCATATGTACTGTACTTTGTCCCCTTTGAGAACTCATCAACTACAGTGACAAAGTTTGGTGAACAAAAGCTGCAATGAAAGAACAGTTGTGTTGCAGGCATTGTTGCACTTGGGGTCATTCAGTGTAGTTTATTTTTTCAACCTTTGTTTTACCTAAACGGGCAAATACACAGACAAATTGTGTTGCAATGCGTGTATTTCCATGTAAAGCTGTGGCTTTCAGGGCTCTACATAGTTCGGAGGCCCAGTGTATCTGCACACCATGGACTCAGAATGTGATCTAACTCTAGAACCTGGTCGATGACTATATTGCCCCCCTCAGGCCAGTCAAAACGAGTTTGCACCAACTAAAAATATTGTTACAGATGGTTTCATAGCTCTGTTACATGAGTTTTGTAAGTTGCAGTTTTACCTGAACATTGTGGATGAGACAGTAGTTGTAGTGCTTTATCTTGCATAATTTCAGAAAGTTCAGGGAAGCTGCAAAAGAAAATAGCAGAGATTAACCCTTAGGGGTTCCTTAA